GTCTCATCATCATCAATCATCATCATCATCTCCCTCATCTCCATCATCATCCATCATCATCATCATCATCATCATCATCGTCATCATCATCATCATCACTACTTCTCATCATCATCATAATTATCATGTCTATCATCATCATCATCATCATCATCGTCATCATCATCGTCATCTCCATCATCTCCATCATCATCATCATCTCCATCATCATCATCATCTTGTTCATCCTCGTCCTCGTCGTCATTGTCACCTGACGTTTCTGACCCACTCGGTGAACTCGGTCCATGGCCTGACAGGAGGAGGAGGTGGAGGTCAGCACCGCGAGAGGGAGCGATCGTTGCTCAAGCAAGTCCCACCTGCTCCTCTGCGGCTCCGTTCCACCACAAGTCAGTGAGGAGGACGTTGTTGGCAACGACCTGAGGAGATGAGGGTCATCGCAGACAAGAAGGGAGGAAGAGGAGGAAGGTTGGAGATAGAAGAGCAGGGAGGCAGGATGGAGAGGAGGATGGAGGGAGGCGGGAGAGGAGGAGGAGAAGGAGGAGGAGGGAGAGGAGGAGGAGGAGGAGGAGGAGAAGAAGAAGGAGGTGCAAGGGAGCCGGGAGTGGAGGGATGCAGAAGAGGGATGGACGGAGGGGGAGGGGAGGAAGATCAGCAGGGAAGAAGCAGGAGCAGAAGAGCGAGAGCAAATCGTCTCCCGCTTGTCCCTTGGCAAATTTTCAGCAAGAAAATCTCACCAGGTTGAGGCCCATTCCTCCGCTCTTGAGGGTTACGAGAAGGATGATGACCTTGAAGGAATGGAAAGAGATCAGCTGCAGGTGCGAGGAGAAACTTGTTCTGCGAGTGTCAAGGGGACAACTGGGGAGGAGGAGAGTCGATGGGGGAGATAGGAGGAGATTGATTCCGGTATGGAGAGGAGGACATCTGTATAGGTTTGTTGTGACATGGAGAAGGAGAAGGCGATATTGGTCGAGGAGGTGGTGAGGAGGTGGAGACAGAGAAAAGGACAGAGGAGAAGACAGAGGATTCAGGGTTGATGAGGAGGATAGTAGAGGAAAAGAGAGACAAGAGGTACGAGGAGGAAGAGGACGAGGAGGAAGAGGACGAGGAGGACGAGGAGGACGAGGAGAGGGAGGAGGAGAAGGAGCAGGAGAAGGAGCAGGAGGAGGAGCAGGAGGAGGTGCAGTGGCAGGGTAAAGACACTTCATCGGACGCACCTGCGGGTTCTGGTGGAAGATCTGAAGGGAGCTAGTACGTTCATCGCGGGACATGGTGCCATCTAGACGAGTGAAGCTGATCTGAGAGAGGGGAGGACGTGAGGGAGAGAATATCATAGGAAATTATGCGGAGAAGTCGGAAGTGGAGGGGGGAGGGGGGGAAGATAGGGATAGAGATAAAGACAGAGATAGAGACAGAGCAGGAGGATAAGGAGACAGAGAGGGGAGTGGGGGAGGTAGCGAGGGGGTTTGAGCAGGGACAGTAGTACAGGGTTGGAGGCTAAAGAGGGACAGGGAGGAAAAGAGAACCTGGTGAAGGTCAAGGACAGCTTCTAGAACATCCAGGAAGCGATTGAACTGTGAGAAGATTATCTGAAAGAGCAATCAGATCGGAGAGAGGATGTTGTATTTGTTGAGAACTGACGATTTTCTCTCCCTCTCTCTCAGTCCGGATATATTCGATCTCCTTCAAGATTGCCCGCAGCTGTGCCAGAGGTCAGAACAGCAACAAGACGGCTGGGGAATGAGAGGGCGAGAGCGGTGGGGGAGGAGGAGGGAAAGGTTGATCTAAGGGGGTGAGGAGGAGAAGAAGAGGAAGGAGGAAGGAGAAGAAGATGAAAACATGGAAAGTCGAAGATGAAGAAAATGAAAACGCAAGTAGGAGGAAACGAAAAGAAGGGATAGGGGACAGGGGAGGGAAAGGAGAGAGAGCTAGGGGAGGGGGGAAGGGGAGAGGGTCAGGAGACGACAGTAGATAGGGAGGAGGAGAGGGAGAGGGAGCATCTCCAAAGGCCTCCTTTTCTTGCCTTGCTGCTCAGAAATATCGTCTCGCTCATAGAGCATTCGTCTGTGAGTTTGCTCTTCTTGCTCGAGCTGGCCGTGTTTGCCTTCTCCCTCGACCACTCGGACGCTCTCTCGAACACTTGAAGCTTCTTGAGCATCTGCGAGGCATGCCAGACGTCCACTCGCTGGCTCGGAGAGTCTTGCTCCTCCAGCGATCGGGTCACGACGTCCACAAGCTCGACCCTCCGCTCTGCCCCGCCCCCCGCCCCGTCAGCTCCTCGCAGTCAGTGGGAGGATCTCCTGATTCTCACCGTAAGGGAGGAAAGTGAGGATGCTCTTGACGATGTTAATGACATCCTGTAAGAAACACTTCAAACGACAAAAGATACAAGACACAACACGTACATACATGCAACATACATACAACATACACACATGTGACATACATAAGACATACATATATGCTAAATACAACATACATACATACACCACAAATGACAACATCAAACGATTTTTGACAGCTGACTCAAATAAAGTCTCTACCGTCTTCTTGATGCTACCGCCCTGTGTCGCGGCAAAGCAATCGCAGCACTCTCGGAACTGCACCAAGATGAAGATCGAATCAAAGGAGGAAAACGGTCGAGGGGGGTGGGGGGGCTAGAGGAAACAAGAGATGCAAGAGAAAAGAATGGAAATGAGAGAGAAGAAGAAAACACAAGAGAGGAGGTAAAACATGAGAGGAGGTAAAACATGAGAGGAGGTAAAGCATGAGAGGAGGTAAAACATGAGAGGAGGTAAAACATGAGAGGAGGTCAAGAAAGGAAAACAAGTTCAAAGAAGGGAAGCAGTGCAAGGGAAATGCCCAAGTCTCTGACCTCCTGCAGCAGCGATTCCTCTTCGTACTTCCCTCCAACAACGATCTCATCATCAGCCTTCTGGTCCCCTAAACCATCCTGTCACCCGCACAGCATCCTCCCTCCTCCTCTCCTCTCCACCGTGCCAACAAGCATGTAGATCCTTCATGTCCTGCCGGGCTCCTCTCAGCCCGTCATCCCACTCTCCGTCCTCCTCCTTCCCCGCGATGGCAACGCTGTCGATCAGGTTGGCGAGCAAGCTCGGGTGGTTGCAGAACTGTCTCACTCCCTTTAGCTGCTCCTGCCATCCCTCCCTCCTCCACGTACCTGCCGCAGGCGCAGGAGGAGGACAAAAATCTTGGAGAAGATAAAGTTCTGCTCCTTCCCGCCCTCCCCTTGCAGCGTCCGAGACCTCAAGATCATTGACCCCCTCATGTGCAGAGCTTGATAGATCGTCTGGTCAGCACGACGACGGTCAGCCTGCTCGTTGCTCCTTCCTCCTCAACCCCTTTCCCTTCCTCCTCTTGCGCCTTTCCCCCAACTGCAACACCCCATTTCCTCCTCGTCCTCTCCACCACAACCACCTCCTTCCACTCCCCTCCTCCTCCTCCTCCTCCTCACCTTTTCTCTCTCTGACAAGACGATCTCTCGCATCTCCACGATCTTGGGAGGCAGCATGATGATCGGCACCCCGTGCAGCTTCTGGTCTTTGGTCCTCCTCAGGCAGAAGATACGAAGCAGCTTGCGGATGCGAACCTGTAAGGAATCGAGAGTTTAGAGACCTTATTGCTCCTTCATTCTCCTTCCTCCCTCCCTCATCCTCCCTCGCTCATCCTTCCTCCCCGCTCCCGTTTCCGTCCTTGCTCGGGTATCCCCTTTCTCCCCTTCCTCCTCTTCTTCCTGTTCCTTCTCTTCCTAATCCCTTTCCATTCCTCTCACTCCACTTTTCCTCAACCCTCGTCCTCTTTCCATTCCCCCACTCACCAGGCTCGTGGGGTTCCTCTGTCGGAGAGGGAGGAGAATGAGGCGCTGGAAGTAGTCGTAGGTATCGAGAGGATGGAGGCGGAGGAAGGAAAACAGCGGGAAGATATCTTCAAGCTTGTTCTGGATCGGAGTACCAGTGATCGCCCACCTGTGTGTTCCATCCAACTCCACCACCGCCTACCACCCCTCTTCAGATCCTGGCGACCACCCCTCTTGCACCCTCACCATGCTCTGCAACGTCTTCCGGTTGGAGATTAGGTGTGCCTCGTCCAGGACGATGCGCGACCACTTGACGCAGTGGAGAAGAGACGCTGCTTCCTCTGCGCTCCTCTTCGTCTGAACGAGCCATGAGATTCTCGTGCCAGAGACGAGGAAAGGGAGGGACCAGGAGGAAGACAGCAGGGGGAACAGCAGAGGAAACAGGAAAGGAGGGGGATCAGCAGGAGGGTCAGGAGGGAGTGGGGCGAGATCAGAAGGAACAGACCTCAGGGATGAATTCTGAGGAGAGGACGCTGTAGGTGGTGAGCACAATGTCATAGAGCATGAGGACGGCAGGATTCTTGGTCCTTCCTCCTCCATGGTACACGTAGACACGAAGTGACCCGTCGGTGTGCTCCTGGATCTGCTCGCACCAGGTCTGGAGGACGGAGAGCGGGGAGACGATGAGCGTCGGGCCCGTCATGTTCTGGGAACAAAGCTTTCCTTCCTCTATCAAGCTCCTCCTCTCCATTACCCCATGCATGATCAGCGAGATTGTAGTTAGCGTCTTGCCCAACCTGCAGGCAAGAGCGTCAACGGCCTGCCTCGCCTCCCCCTCATCCACAACTCCTTCCCTCCCTCCTCCCTCCTCCCTCCTCCCTCCCTGCTCTTCCAACAAAACAAAACTTCCTTTCTCTTGCGCACTCTCTCGCCATTTTCTCCACATCTCCTCCTGTCCTCCCTACCACCACCACCCCCTCCTCCTCCTCCTCCTCCTCCTCTTCCTCTTCCTCCTCCCAATCACCCCATGTCGTCTGCCAGCAGTCCTCCTCGGGCTCCCTCCGGCTCCTCCGCGCTGAACTTGCGGGTGACGGAGTTGTACCACCCTCGGACTCCCGTCTTCTTGTTCTTGTAAGGCTCCCAGAACAGAGCTCGTCCCTGCTCCTCCCGCTCTCGCATCCAGAAGAGCGCCTGTAAGGAGAGTGAGGATGGCGAAAGGAGGTGTCCACGGGAGGGATGCAGGGGCGGGAGAGGCGAAAGGAGGAGGCGGGAGGGGGAGGGGGGGAGGGGAGGAGGAGGGCGGATCCTAGAGGGGTAGCGATTGATGAGCTGGAGAGAACAGGATGGGACAAGGAGAGCAGGAGGGAAGAAGTGGAGCAGACGACAGCAAACACCAACACCAACTTTTCTCTGATGTCGCAAGAGTTTGGTCTTCACGCAGGGAGGAGCTTCTTCTTCTGGCATGGCATCATGCTCGACCTGGACGATGAGGCACAAGTCAGATGGACATCGAGAAGGGACGGGGAAGGGGGGAGGGGAGTGAGAGAGGAGAGACAGAGAGGGCGGCTGGCGGGGGAGAGTGGGAGAGAAGGGGGACAGAGAAGACATATTGAGGACCAGAGACTGGGAGTGGCAAGAAACGGGTGGGAGGTGGGGTGTGGAAGGATGCTGTAGGGAGGGAGGATGAAGATGGGAGGCTCGTCGGAGGCGGAGCAAGGACGGGGAGGAAGGGGGTGAAGGAGGGCAACAGGAAGGACTGACTTCTCCGTCAAACAAGTCATCGAAATTCGAGTGCATCCGGAACTCGATTCCACCGTCCATTTGCAACACTTCCTCCAAGTCCCTCTCATCCTTCTCCCTCCGGTATTGCTGAGAACCAGGATCAGCACCTGGCAAGCTCAGCAAGCGCAACAAGTCTCACCACGGCGCTGGGGTCTCTTGACAGGTAGTAATCCTTCTCTAGGCGGATCTCAAGGTCTTCAGAGACCAGGCTCTTGAGAACGGCCGCTTCCACCTGCTCTGATTGTCAGCCAGCGGCCAGGACCGCCAACTATGCTAGTAAGGCAAACAAGAATGGAGAAAATGGAGAAAGAATGGTGAAAGAATGGAGAGGTAGCAACAACATCACGAACGCTTTGCTCACTGATTCTGGCCCTTGCAACCAAGCATCAACCACATACTCGCGCTTCTTCTTCCCGTCGTTCATCTCTGTCAGCAAGCACCGGATGCTACCAGGAGGGATGTTCTCCCGCATGAACGGGATCAGCCGCTTCGCCTCCTTCCTGACGACCTGCGCGATCGACATGCCGCTGACCACCACATGAAGTACGTTGCCGTCGATGAGTAGCTCGCAGCTGTTGCCCAGCAGACTCTGAGGGAGCTCTAGAACCTCTTGAGAGCTTGCCATGTGCAACCTCAGCCAACAGATGTAGTCGTCTAGCGAGGAAGACAGTGCGTTCCCCTCCTGCATGGACGACTTGACCAGCGAAGGATTGTAGTGCAGCAAGTCATCGACGGACGTCGAGTTGTGCTTCGAGACAGGATACAGCTGCTCGCTGTGCTTCGGTTTGACCTGTGCCTCCAACTTCTCTTGCCACCTCACCTTCTTCGCTGCGCCCTCCTCCCTGCACCCCTCCCCCCCGTGCCCCTCGTCCCCACTGGATGATCGCTTGCCTCCCAACTGCTTCTGCAGGAATCTCTCCATCTCACCCTCGTAGTCTCTCTCTATCTTGGGCTCGGCTTTCACCTCTGCCTGCTTGTCGTTGGGCGCGTACTGATCCAACCACCTATCCAACTCCGCTTCTGACCCGCTAACCTCTCTGTTCTCCATGAGGGCCCGGGCAACCTTGTCCCTCCTAGACTGGATGATCGTCCTGAGCTGCGAGACATGATTGATAGGCACCAGGGTCTCGTTCGATGTGCAGAACCTCCTCCTCAGCTTCTCAACCTCTTCGCTCTGGAACAGCTCGTATCCCCCCTCGTTCTCCAACAAGGCATGGAAGCTCGGGCCCTTGGGGAGCCTCGTGGGGTTACGGAACACCATCCTCCCTTGCACAGCAGCGTCTCCTCCTCTCAGCATGAGGCAAGGTGTCCTCCTCGCCTCCTCCTGGAGCCCCGGGGCTGGACCTGCATGGCATAGAAGCCCGACCAGACATAGAATGCGAGCGGAAGGCGCGAGGACAGATCTCCTGGCGATCAACGTGCCTGCAGCACGTGGCACGGGTCTAGCCATAACCATGTGTCGCTCGATAGTCTCCCTGCTTCACGCATGCCCGCTGGTCCATCGGCGCCATGCCATCTCGTGCCGCCGCCATCGCTAGCGCATGGCAGTCGGGTGGGTCCAAGAAGGATACGAGTCCGCCTCATGAATAATTTGAAGGCAGAAACACACATTTAGAAACGATTATTAGGGTAATTATTGAAGGAAGCGTGGGGGTTGTTTGTTGCTCTTGGTAGTTACGGGGGACGGCAAAGAGACACGGAAAGAAGAGAGGGGAGAGGAGGGGAGGGGAGAGAGAAGAGAGAGGAGAGGAGAGGAGAGGAGAGAGGAGAGGAGAGGAGAGGAGAGAGGAGAGAGGAGAGGAGAGAGGAGAGGAGGAAAGTGGACGAGGAGAAGTACGGTACGATTGTTGTAAGAGGACAGAGTAAACGAGGGAAGAAGATCGCAGGCAAGGGAGAAGATGGAGGGAGAGGCTAGGTTGAGAGAACAGTGATGGTAGCACATAAGGATAAGACGGCGATCCACCGTGGAAGTGGAGAGCGTCAGGGGGCGATGGGTCGCATGAAGCACAATGGTGGCTCCTTGAATGAAAGGCAAGATTTGGAAGGCTCGAAGCATGGGGGAATTGGCGGCCAACCAGAGGGCTTGCAAGTCGACATCAAGGTTGAAGATGGGCGCAAGGCAAGGAAGCACAAGAGGGGCTACTCTCCCTCCCCCAGCGTGAAGAAGATGAAGACAGGAGAGCAGGAGGAAGAGGAGGCTGCAGATCCGATCCTGGACAAACTCGGCAGGAAGCTGTACACCAACCTGATCGCAGAGATGCGAGTGAAGGAGGAGGAGCTAGAGGGATCACTAGCAAGGGAGGCTGACCTCCACTACAAGCTCTCCGTGAGCACGCGGGAGCTGAAGACGTACAGGAACATGGCCGACGAGCTGTCGGAGGCCATGGAGTGCAGCATCTGCCTCGAGCGACCGGCCCGGTTCGCGTTCAACCCGTGCGGGCATTGCTTCTGCTGCCATGAGAGCTGTGGGTCGTTCCAGGTGCGGAAGTGCCCGGAGTGCAGGGTAACAAAGAAGGGAAAGCTACACCTCTACGGAGTCTTCACCGCCATCTCCTCTGTCCTCGAACGGTTCACCTCGCTACGGGAGTCTGAGGGGACGGCTGAGGAGGAGGGGGAGCCGAAAAAATCGCACGATGCGGTGCGGGTGCGGGTCGTGGAGTCGGAGATGGAGTCGCTGAGATACGAGCTGGGCGCGTACAAGGAGGAGGCAGGCAGGCTGCATGCAGAGTTGACGCAGGCGGAGGAGCAGGTGCAGAGCTTGATGCTCCAGCTGGAGCAGAGCAGGTGGGCTGAAGATGACGTGAGGCAGCAGCTGGAGGCAGTGAAGGAGGAGAAGACTTGGTGCGAGAAGGAGATGAAGGAAACGAGAAAGACTTTCAATGAGGCGAAGAAGGAGATGGAGGCGGTTGCGAAGCAGGTGGAGATGTGGCGCAAGGAGCACCTGGAGAAGTTTGAAGAGTGGGAGGTGGAGAGGAGGGAGAGAGAGAAAGCGGACGAGGAGAGGGCAAAGCGGGAAGAGGAGAGGAGGAAGGGGGAGGAAGAGGAAAGGAAGAAGGAAGAGCAAGAGAGGAAGAAGAAAGAGGAGGAGAGGGAGAAGGAAGAGCAAGAGAGGAAGAAGAAAGAGGAGGAGAGGAAGAAGGAGCAGGTGGAGCTGATGAAGGATGTCAAGGGTGAAGTGGACTTGATGAGGGAGGAGCTCAGGCAATGCCATGACGACCTGCAGTCGGAGCTACAGGCGCTGACTCTCAATGACACGATCAAGCAAAAATGCGTCAAGTGGCTGAGGGACGAACTGACTACGGCCAACAAGGAGAGGGACGAGGCATGCAAGGAGCTCTCGGAGCGAGTGGAGGCGGAGAAAAGGTTCAGAGCGCTCCTGGAGGTTGCTTGCAAGGCGGCTGAGAGGGACAGGGAGCGGGTCAAGGAGCTGGAGCACGCGCAAGAGGCGATCATCATGTGCATGCAAGACATGGAGAATCGTGTGGAAGGGCTGAAAGTGGTGGGCCTTTGTCTCCCTCCTCCTCTTCTCCTCTTGTTCCTCCTCATCCACCACCACCACTTCCTCCTCCTCTTAAATGCCATCCTCTGTCCCTGATATTCTTTTCACCTGCTCCCTCCTGTCCCTTGGCATACTTCTGCCAATCTTCCGCCGCTGATTTTTCAGCCTCCAACTCTCTATTCGCTTCCTGGCTACCTCGCTGAAATGTACTTGTCTCCCGCAGGTCATCAACGACCTGGACCTCTTCCTCCCTCACTACCGCGAAGAGAGCAACAGGAAAGATGCTGCTGCTTCTACCTCCAGCGCTCGAAGGAGAGGAGACAGCTGCATCATCTTCCGCAGCATGGACCCTCGGCTGCAGATCGGCAGCTCGCAGCAGAGGGCGCGGCGGATAGACCTGAGCACCTACAGGAGCAGGATGACTTCAGCTTTCAGTGCTCAGAAAGCCGATATCCCTCCTGTCCTCCCACATACTACGTGAAGGAGGGGGAGGGGCAGGGGGAGAGGAGGGGCAGGAGCGCTTGGACATGGGGGGTGAGTGAGAAGGAGGTGTTCGGGGAAGGCGGGGAGGAGCAGGGGGAGGAGAGGAGAGGGATGTCTTGTGTTTTACAGGAATGCTCGCATGCAGTTGTCTTTATATGTCTGTCTATTGTTTTATTATATCATCATTCAACTTACACTCCTTCCTCCGTCCTCGTCCTCTTCATTCCCGTCTTTTGTTTCATCCTCCTCGTCGCCTTCCATTCCAGACCCCCACCTCCCTCACATCAACCATCCTCCCTCCCTCCCTTGCTCTGTTTACTTCACCATGACAAACAGCATTTCACGCTCCTGAATCACTTCCAGAGAGGGCAATCTTCCATCTTCTCTGTTTTCATGCCCTGCCCATCATCTCCTCAGGGTGCGGCTGCTCACTGACAGCTCGCAGACATGAGCTCTATGAACTTTTGCTGATAATTCTTCTAGCTTGCTCCTCCTCTAGGCGACTCCATCTCTGCGATCATCGTCATCATCATCACCGACAACATTGTCTGCGTCCTGTCCATCCTATCCATCCGCATCATTACGATCATTGTCGTCGTCATCATCATGGTCTCAATCATGATCATCATCACAGGCTCAGTTATCATCATCTGTGTCTCAATCCTCATATCCATCATCATCAACTCAATCACCATCATCATCCACAAGAAGTCCTTCTCTCACCATCAAGACAGAAATCGACTCCTCCTTCAGCATCTCATCGCTGTCAAGGTCGATGACATGTTCTGCGTGCTCGACTGCAGATCGGATCTCCTCTCCTTCCAACTTGCCCTGGCTGCAGATAACCAGGTCGAACGCTGAGCACGCCACGTCGCAGAGATCGATGCTCTCGACGCAGGGGAGTTGCTGCGGTGATCCCGACGGGCTCAGGAACGATATGGGAGCAGAGACAAACCCCAAGGGCATCAAGATCAGAGCGGCAGCCGCTGCCCTGACTTCCTTCTCCTCTCCGAGCAAGAGAACTTTGAGAGGTTGGGAGGAACTTCTCCTCTGATCGATCACCTTCAAGTCCAAGAGAGATGTACGAGTGTGAGTTGATCCTTGCTCCCTCCCTCCTCCAGCTCACCTCCTCGTCGAACATCCCCCTCAGGATCCTCCCGACGCTCTGGTGACAGGCTGAGATAGACATGCGTCACGACCCAGCAGCACACCTGGGACTTGTACTCGTCGGCATGCAGGTAGAGCTCTCCCCCGCTGCTCATCAGCACTGTGAAGAAGTTCGCATGCTCCCCCTTGACACAGGCCGGGGTCAAGGCCGAAACATGGTCACTTGCCTTTTTCCACGTCACATCCTCGCTGGTCCATCCCCCCATCCCCTGACTCGGTAGCCTCAGCATCTGTTCGAAGGAGGAAACATTTTTCGCCCCGTCCTCTACCCGGAAGACCCCGTCAAGGCCGGCTTCTGTGAAGGCCCTCCGGACCATTGCTCGTAGCCTCTCGCTCCTCTCACCCTCGGGGATGATACAGAAAGTCCTCGGAGCAATTAGCCGCTGCTGCACCCTCCTCGAGAAAAGCGACGAGGCCGTCAGTGGTCGACTCTCCCCGTGATCTCCACCTCCTGCACCTCCTCCACCTCCTGTAGCTCCTTCAGATCCTTCAGCTCCTCCATGCGCCTGTCGGGTGGGTGTGAAGACTGAGTTGTACAGTCTTGACAACTCGCTCGTCCCATCTCCATTGCAGACAACACTCGCACACGTCCGTTCTGTCGCCCTGAAACTTCTCAGCCCCTCCTGCACCTCCACGACTTGATCGGCCGACGACGAGGTGACGGTCAGTCTGATCACGTCGACCAAACCCTCAAAGGCGTTCGCCGCCAACTTCAGCGTCATGTAAATCTCGCCTGTCAAATTGTGTCATCCATACTCACCTTTCAAAACCAACTACATCCCATCCCATCCCATCCCGTTCCCTTCCCTCCCTTCCTCTCCCCTTCCCTTTCCTTCCCTTCCCCTCCCTTCTTATCCTTCCCTTTCCGATTCCCCTTCCCCTTTCAATCTTGCGCCTCCCTCGCTCCCACCTGCTGTGTAGAATCGTTCATCGGGGTCTATGGTAGAGGAGATTATGCGAGTATGCCGCTTCGACTTCATGATCTTCTCCTGTACCTCAAACGAGAAGCTCGTTTCCACCTGCCTCTAGACCGTCAACTCCTGCATTCCCTCCCTCCTGCCCCCCAGCTTCTGCTTCTCCCTTTCTCCTCTTCCCACTTCTCCTCTCCGCTCCACCCTCCCCTCCCCTCCCCCCCCCCTCTCCCACTATTCTCCATCATTCCTCTACTGGCTGTCGGCTGCTTCCCTCCCTGAAATCTGCTTCCTCACTCTTCAGAACAGTCACTTTCCTCCAGGAATTCTGCGCCCAACAGCACCCCGAGCATCATCAGCTCCGTGTATTCCTCCTCCGAGCCCCGGAAGTTCCCTCCCTGTGCGATGCTGCGCACAGTCCAGATGATAGGAAGGCGGGAGAGGCGCCTGGACCAGCACAGAGACATCAGAACATCTTAGAGAAGGAGGAGAGGAGAGAGGTGAAGTGGCAACAAGAAGAGAGGAAAGAGGAGAAGAAGATTGCAGCAGTCGGAAGGGGAAAGCGAATAGAAGAGAACAGAACAGAAAACAAGAGTAGAAACTCTGCAAGAAGACTTGTATGGAAGAGGAGGACCTGATCTTGGCGAAACTCCTCTCGATCGCGGCTGCCTCGGTTTCATCCAACAGGTCCACACGGAACACTAGAGCATCCCCCCCGCTCTCTACAGCAGCGATCTCACGCCATAGCCCTTCCTCTGACTGCATCGGCAGCTTCTCAAGAGGGACGGTGAAAGAGCCTGCACTTCAGCATCAGCTCCTGGGGGCTTGCAAGGTTCAGACCTAGAGGGATCGGGCATGCTGGGAAATGGACGAGGCGAACGATCAGGAAGTGGAGATCTTGAGCTGCCCTCTCCCTTGCAATGCTCGCCATGCTCCTGTCCGTCGTGCTCCAATCTATCAACATGAAGACACGAACCACGGGCGCATCAAGGTCAAACTCTCTTGCGAAGATAAGAATCCACCGTAATCCATGTTGGTGAAGCGATAAGGGATCTTGTCCCAGCGAACGGCTCGCCCTGCTGACGATCTCAACGAGCTCCTCTTGTCTTCATGCTGAGCATCTCGATTGATATGAATGACGAGGTGCCCTTCTTCCTGCAGGCCTTCTAGGAGCCGGGTACATTCAGGCTTCTCCCACTCCGGACATGTACACGCCAAGACCTCACTGCGCTCGCACTCGTCGAACTTGTTCATGAAGTTCCTCAACATCTCGACACTCCTCAACTCTCGGTAGCTTGCATGCAGTCGGGGAGCAACGAGCTCCCCCAAACATCTCTTCCCTGCATCGCGAGCTCCGATCAGAAAGACATGCTTCTTCTGCCTGTCTGTCCCTTCCCTTGCTTCTTGCATGATAACGGGTCTGCACATCCTGCAGCAGCCCATGCTCTCCTTCCTGCTCATCGTCATCCCAGGTAAGAAGCCGACGCAAGACGACTGCATGGCCAACAAACATGTCGCCATGCGAACCACCATTGGGCCGAGATGCGACCGCACGGATACAGCCATTGCCCGACGACTCTTTCCCTTTATTGACTGAAAAAGAAAGGCAAACCGTAGAAAACAAGGGAGGCTGAAAGTAAGTCCAACAAACCCGCCTCAATAAAATACTAGGAAACGAAAAAGGCAGCGAAAGCCGCTACTCCAACCACGCAAGCGACAGTCTCTTTACTCCGACGACCCGCCGCTCGATTGTTCGCAAGCCGGGCCGGGCAGCCCCGGCGGCCGAGCTCATCATGTCGACTCGAGTCACCGTCAGATCCGGGACCTATCCGACCGGCGTGCTGACGGAGCACAAGTTTGTTAGACTTGTACTAGTCCAAAAGTCACGCAGATATCACATCGACCTCAGTTGTAACAACACAGTTTTTGCTCAAGACCGAGTTTAATGCACACAAAACCAGAATTGAGGAGCACATGAGAGATAGACTGTATGCTAGGATGTGAAACCCAAGCATCCAGACATGAGAGGACCTTAGCAAGACGGCTAGGAAAGCCCCCTCTTCGTCCCACACGCTACATCGGCCGCCTCGCCACGTAAGTCGTCTTGGTTTACAGGAGAGTTTTTGTTAACTCGGCGCTATCTGACTGGCACGGCTGGCATACGTTCCATCACGTGCTCGGAGTCACTACTCAGTGTTGTGCGGGCCCAGGTTCCGAGTTCAGGTTCAGTTCAGTTAATTTACGATTATTATAAAAGAATAGTGAACAAACATTGAACAACATTATTCGAACACATAATTGAAACATAGCCTTCGCATATGATATACCGGGCCACCTCGGGCCACAACCATCCGATGAAGCAGCCGCATGACTCACAGCAGAATGCCTACTTCTCCTCTTCGATATAGTCCCAATGAGCGTGGCCGGTGGACCGAACACTCGGGGCTGCCGGCAAGGTCAGACCGGACGGGAGCGGAGAGTCGCACAACGCCGGGCTACTCACTGCGGACTATCGTGGAGCCGTTCTCGGAGAAATGAAGCTCGATGGACCTCGTCGAGTTGCTGTCGTTGCGGATGGACACGCGTCGCCGCTGCTGGCTATTGGCTGAAGCGCAGGATCAGTGCGAGAGGTAAGGATAGAAGCTAGGAGGGAGACAGGCAGGGGGAGGAATATCGAAGGAAAGAGGAGGGGGCAAGGGAGAGGAAGCAACTTGTCCTCACCACTCTGTGGGTGAATGTAGGTGTCATACGGATCCAAGGTTGCTTCTTCTCCCTCCCTCTGGCATAAGGGGTCAAACTCAACCTCGACGAGTGAGTTCCAGAGGTTACCAAAGTCAACACAATAGTGTTTCCCCTGCTCGGGATGATGATGATCTCATCATCCGGCGCACTTTTGTTCGCCTTCCTACAGAAACTGCGGGCAGGCTGTCAACGTTCATGCCTCAGGACTCCGCAGCTTCACCAGACGAAGCAGCAGATCACGATCAAGAGCCCTCCCAGACCGGCTCCTCCGATCTTGATCCAATACATCCAATCGACGCCTGGTGTGAATGGTTCAGGGGACTTCTCGTCGTTCATCCATTCAAGACATACCAGATTGAGCTGCAAAGTCCGAGGAAACATATTGCCAAACAAACAAACATCAAAACCCAAACTTGTGACAAGCCCGCAGCCTCCAAGTCACCTGGTTGGTTGGGATACGAGGGCGATTTGATTACTTCTACTTGATAACCCTAGATGATTGAAGCTTCAGCAAAACCGGTAAAACAGGTCAAATAGACGATCTGCCTGCTTCAGGAAGCAGGACTTGATGTTGCCGTCTGTCATCTGAACACGGGACACGTCAGGTCCAGACAATCGAATCGCTCAACCGTTACCTGCTCAACGGTCTGAGCAGCGATGTCCATGTTGGCTACAGAGACTGGATGCAATACAGCCATCAGAATCATCTATGCACCAGCACTACAGTACTCTGCAGGTCGACTTGCGAGTTGATGTTGGTCACTGACACTAAGTTAGAACCTCTTTCGCACAGCTGAGAATGCAACCTGGCGGGTTAGGAGCTATCACTGTCACCAAAGTGATATTCTGGGGATCCACTCCAGATGAACAGCTGGCTGCCCACCGGATCCTAATCGCATCATGACATGTCAGGACCGGATGAGAAAAGGAGCATTCTCAATCCTTACAATTGCCGATCATTTGACGACAACGATCCTGGAAGAATTGGATCACAAGAGCACAGAGACTTGCAAAACTTTTGAGGACCTGGAGTCTGCTGCATTCCAACAGAGAAGGATATCACAACATTTGTGCTTGATCCCTGGGGTTGGTTTCCTTTCCGAGACAAACGTCACCACATAAATCAATAGCTCAGAGCAATCTCTGCTACCGCTTGGAGCATAACTGTAAGTTCCAGGTCCAACGCAAGGACAAGCAGAGCAGGTTGAAGGCGAACCCTACGAATCCTTCTTCTTAAAACAAGCGTGCGATCCCATACAAGTTCACCAGGATCGTCGCTTCAATCCATCCTCCGTAGAAATTGACCAAGGTGTACATGCCATAACGGCCTTGAACGCCGCAGTCCTGGGTGTTACTGGGAAGTTCTGATCCCTTGCTGAGCACCCCTGTTAGAGATTTCAGCATCGGAAGCGAGCGAGGGGAAAGGTCAACCTACGACCCATGGCACAGAGTTAACGAAGATAATGGCAGGTCCCCCAGAGTCACCATTACAACTGTCTTTCCCAGCAATGCCCCCCGTGCAAACAACGTGATTGAAGTCGATAGCACCGCGCGAGTAAGACCAAGGGTTTGCACTGATACAGTCTTGCTGGGATGCTATATGCAAATCTACTTGCATCAGGTAGGAGGGTATCTGCTTGTTGTTGTTGACGACTCCCCACCCTGCAAGAGTGCAAGCGTCTCCTGCAGAAACCTGCAATACGATCAACGGCCTCATGAGAAGGATCAGGATACGAACATTGAGGCTTCCACTCAGCCCGTTGACCTTGGCATACTGCGGGACAATCGCGTCCGAGTCAAGCTCGATCAGAGCAATATCGTCGTGGTCCTGATCCATACTTGGCGTATAACATGGATGGGGGATGTATCTTACAGCTGAAACGTACTTGCAGTCTACACTGTTGATATCTACACAATTGTACATGATCTTGGTGCTCGCTGTGCCTGTGACGCTGACGTAACCATCACTGTTGCTGTTCAGCAGACAGTGAGCTGCTGTGAGTAGCCATCGAGGACTGATCAACTGCCCTGAGCACAGGATGCCAGCTCCACCCAACATCGTGATCCTTGCTTCCCACGGAATCTGCGAGAAACTGGACTGCACGCCTCCGATGATTCGCAACCTTTCCCTTCCCATGTGTGCTGCGACTTGGTCCTTCCCACCCAGCGCATTAGGGTGTACGTTGTTCTGTTGCAGTTGCGAAACTCCTACTGGTGTCGCATGAATGAAAGATGAAAAGAATAGAAGGAGAGAGAGGTAGAGAGATATCCTCGTGTAGGCCGTAGCCGTGGAAACACAGTCAAAACTCTTCATCTCTCTTGCATGGCAGTGGGGTGCCTGATCAAGTGGCGGCCTGATCAAAATCGTCCAATGTCTGACGGCAAGGCGTTGAATCTGTCTATCTTCGAGTTATATCGGAGGTTGCAGTTGTCTCTTCCTTTGTATCTGGGTCTCCTTTCCTTACTTTCCTGGCTATTCCTATCTTTGCTGCAAAGCTTATATCTTTCCTTAACTCACAAACCCTACGACGAGAACCTACGCATAATAAAGACTGAAGTGTCGTCCCAACAAACCCGCAGCATTTCCATGTGATCATGGCCCTTCTTCACCGCCAGTCCGCCTGCCATATCCTCTTCGCCAGCATTCCCATGCCCTCCCCCGCATTGTCCCCAAGTAATCTTGCTGTTGAAATCTTTACGCCGTGCAACTCACGAGGGTTTTTTTAGATTTCCTTTTCGCCTACCACCCCCTCTAAATACTGGATAACCCACCCCTTGTCCAAGGCTTTTAGTACCTAAAAGATGATTTGTAGCAGTCTTTCAATCTGACCAGTATTGGGTACGGACAAGATATTAAGTAAATACTCTTACTCAGGAGTTCTGCTATCTTTCGGGGAAGCGAGTGGGTGGACGGATTGGGGGACATATCCTGGGAAACTAATCTAAAGCACATGATCAGACATTTTAAATCAAATATTTTATTATTACCGGATAGAGCCTATCGACTCCTTCACGCAACCGTGCAGGCAGGCTAGCATGGAGACCAGTGGTGATATTGCAGTCAAAAGGGGGGGTGATGTCCGTGGGCGATGGTAGACATAGGGCACAGGGGGTAGTAAAACCTTGATGGGCTAGGGTGGGGGTTGGGGTGAGTAGGGGTTATATTGTATATTCTCAATCCTATATGTTTGAGGGTAGGGTAGTTGGGGTAAATTACCCACCCCTTGTCATGGTGGTTGGAAAGGAGGGTGGCATGACTACAAACCTCATACTACCCCACCCCGATTGATGAGCGCAAATAAATCTTTCACCCCTACCCCAAGCTTTTCATCCTGTGAGCAAATACACCCCTACATAGATTGGAGGAATATACCCCTGCTGGGACATTCGCCACGGGTATTCAACAACCCCACCCCCAAGCTGCCCTCAGCGGCTGTCGCGTCATCATGCAGAGCTTGAAGCTCTTGGCGCTCTTAGCGGTCCTGGTGCCCATGGCAGAGGCCTACTGCAACCTGAAGACCTACCATGTGAGTCTAGCTCAGGCTCAGCTGTCTTGAGGGGAGGGGGACGTGCCTTCATGCTCACCTTACCCCATGAGTGATGTTGATGTAACGGTGCTGGCGTCCTGAAGAAGTTTGTGTTGGGTGGGAGGGGCAGAAGATACGATACTTGTCGACCGACTTGGTCTCCATATGCTGTTCTTGTTCCCCTCATCGCAGCAGGCTGTCTTTCTCCCTGAACTTGTGTGCTCTGGTCTGAGGATCCTCCCTCTCATGATGCTGATGATACACTGAGTGTGTTGCTCCTCGCATGGATTGCGTTGACGCATTGTCGAACCCAGTCATACTTGAAGAAGCAAGAGATCACATGCGGGAGCTCGAAGTCGTGAGTCTTTCGCTGCTCTGCTGCGACGTAGGTGACGGGGTCGGGCAGGACCTATTGCGACAAAGAATGCAAGAAGTCTATCACGAGCTGGGTGATGTACTCTGACGGATGCGTGGGTGAGAGCGGAACCTGGGTGGGGTTGAGGATGTCTGACATGCTAGCCGCAGCTCCCAACGAGAACTCCCTGCCCCATCCATTCTTAGACGATAACGGTATCAATCCTGTTTACCAGAAGGACATGGTGAGAAGGCGTGCGGATGTTTCTCCTCCGTCCGTGCCCCTGCTTGCTCCCACTTCCTGATGCCCATGCTCCAGCACGAGATGAAGGTGAGGTACAAGCACTACTGTGGCAAGCCATGGTCAGCTGGGGCCCAGCTCTCTCCTCTCAGCAAGTGAGAAGCCTCTCGGGATAGTCTGGGGAAATGGCTGACCTGGCTTGTCAGGTTCGTCAGTCTTGTTGTGGGAGCTGCTGTCGTGGTCTTTTCCTACCGCATGTAAGTTACAGTCGCCTCCTCTCTCATGTCAGTTGGATTTCGTTCTGCGATCAAAGGAATCGAAGGCTGCCTGTACCATCACAGCCCAGTCCCTTCTCAGTTCTCTGAAGGTCGTTGGTCGAGCGTTGAGAGTGCAGGAAGGGGGAAGAGTCCTCGAGCCGTGCAGTTGTGATCGTCGGGTTAAGACAAGTGTTTCTTTGTGTACATGATATCGATGATGCGCTGCTGGTATGCTCTCCCAAGAACAGGATGTATCACTCTACAGAACGATGATTCAAGAATGATTAATATTTTTTGATGATTTAAAAGCAACTCGTCTTGGTCCTAGACAAGCAATATTTCCCTTGTTAAGCTTTCGGCGTGTGAATTATTCTTTCTTCTCCTTCTCGTCCTGCGCTTTAGAAGTGTCGTCCTGTTTGGTTTCCGATTGCCCTGCCTCACCAGCCTCCGCCTCCTCCGCTTTCTTGGACGGGGCCTGAAAGACTTAGATCATCCACAAGCATTGAAGGAGAGTCCAAAATGCCACCGCAACTCTTCCCCCGGTCATGAAGTCCTTGGGTTTGGCAGTACCGATCCCCAAAAGCTCGTGGATCTGGGCAAGCAGGTCAGGAGGATGCGCCAGTAGAGAGGAACTGGAAGTTACGTTGTACTTCTTGAAGCTGAAGTAGTCGGGCGCAATACCGAGGCAGCACTGCGGAGCAAGACAGGTTGAGCAACACGGCAGCAAACAGGCAGCAACGTGAACACCGCGTTGGTCAAGATGTCCACGAGGATGCAGACTTCGGGAGACGAAAGATCAACCTACGATGTCTCAGATGCATGTGACTTGCTCGTCTTCATACTTTGTGCTTCTTGTCGACAAGCTGAGCAATCTTGTCAATGATCTTGTGGAAGAAAAAGTAAGTGAGGGAGAAGGAAACATCCACATGCCAAACGAGGAACCTTGATTCTCTCGACATCATCGTTACTCCTCTTGCGAAACACAATGCTGTATCTGAAAGATGATGAGCATGAGAGCAACGACACTGTACGAGAGCTACCGTGTCTCCTTAGCTTGAGCGCTCAGATGCTCATCAATCAGCTTAACATCCGCGTTACAAGACAACGAGAGCGGACGAACGACTGACCGGCTGGACGGCCTTTAGAATACATTCTTCGCTTGCATAGCAAGTTGCCAACACTGGCGTTATCCTCACGGCGTACTTGGTCTTGCTGTGGTTTTGTTGCTTCACCTGTGACCCGCTCATCAACCTCCTGCTGGCCAATGCGGCGTGCTCAATTCTCACCTCGTTGAGAAAATCTAGACAGATCTCTAGCGGGTTCATCTCCTGCTCATCGTGCGTTACCAGCGGATTGAGGATGATGGAATCAAACCTTGTTCTGAAACTCAACGAAGACCAGCCCCTTCACATCCGTCTTGATAGTAGAAAACAGACTGTCCTTTTTCTCCCTCGCTGCCTGTAGTGATCGTGACGTCACCTCCAGCACATGGAGGAGGGCAAGAAATACCTCGGCCGCTATCTCTTTCTCGATATCACGAGGTCCACTGGCAGGCGCTTCTTGCTTCTGGGGATAGCGGATCAAATGCCAGCTCCGCTCCCTCCGCTCCCTCCGCTCCCTCCCTCCACTCCCTCCCTCCGCTCCCCCCACTCCCTGAACCTGAAGAGCCTCGTGGATCTTGGGGTATCTCTTCTCCGCAAACTCTGTGAACGCCATGATGCACTCTTGCTTGCACAGGTTCTCAGACTGTCGAGGCACAACAGGCGTCAAGGCTCGCGATCCCCGTCCAAGCAAGCACCACCCGAATGTCGCATGAGACGAGGATCCCGTTGATTCCTGCGCTTCTGAGTCTCTCGAACTCTGCAATGGCAGTCATGCACAGCATTACCGACGAAGATAGCGCGAGCACCATAGTTCTTTGTGTTGCCTCCCTTGAACTGCCCCCTTCCTCTCCCACCAATGTATTGCCTCTTCTGCCTCTGTTTCAATCATGTCAGCAGCTACTCCACGCTGGAGTGAACGACCAACCTTGTTTCTCCTGTCATTGTTGGACGACTCGTTGCGTCTGCGAGGTCTCAAAGTCACCATGCCTCTCATGCTCTGCCAGGCATTGTCCATGATATTCCATCCCCATTTCGATCTTGACGCCTCGTCCGTTATACTTCACCCTGCTATCCCCCATCTCTCCCTCTCCTCTGCTCTCCCCTCCCCTCCCCTCCCCTCCTCTCCCCTCCCCTCCCCTCCCCTCCCCTCCCCTCCTCTCCTCTCCTCCCTACCCATCACTCACCGCTTTCCTTCTTCTCCCATCTTCACGTGAGCACGCCCTCATCCCCTAGACTCGGGAGTTGAACCCGGCCGGGCGGCTGGCAGGCGGGCCCGGGACCCGGGCCCGACTGATGCCATCCCGGCCGGGAGCCTCAGTCGGGAGTGTCCGATCGGACGATCGGACTGGATGCGCTGGCAGAGTCCGATGATCGAGCCGGGGGGCCCATGTCCGAGTCATGCCAGATGAGTCACGAGTCACCTGATCCCGACCTCAGCGGTGCTTCCATTCCGACATCCGCTTCAATGGCGCGGCACCCGCGCGCCGAGTCCGGCCGCGGATTGGACCGGGCCCGGCCCGGGGCGGCCAGGAACCACTCAGTGACTGGCCGGGCTATACGGTACTCCCTAGCTGTGATCGCCGCAGCTTGACGGCCGTTGACGTCCGTTGACTGTCGGCGGATAGTATAAAATGAAAAGGAGGGAGGAAGAGAGCGAGCTTTCACCTGCTTGACGGCACGAGAGCAGGGATAGAGATACCTCGCACGATGGAAAGAGAAAGTGAAGCAGTTCCCTCCCACGAGGGAGATCCTCCGATGGACCAAGGAACGACATCAGCTCCAACAGTTGGAGAGGGCCAGGACGGGCAGGGCGAGCAGGAAGGGTTGACATCAGCCTCGGCAGTAGGAGCAGAAGTGGAGGGACTGCACGGCGAGGAGGGACGAGAGGAGGTTGGGCCTCAGGACGGACAGGATGGGCAGCAGGGTCAGCACGAGGAGGATATTGGAGCCAGAGAGGATAAGTGGGAGGATCGGGGCAACGATGTAGCTCCTTCGGCGGACCAAGATCTGACATCAGCGTCAGCAGTTGGAGCAGGGGAGGAGGGAGGGGAACAACAGGGGCAGGGGGAGCAGGGGGCAAGCGTCTCAGAGGGGCAAGAAGAGCCAACATCAGCTTCAGAAGCACAGGCGGGCGAGGAAGGAGAGGGAGAAGAAGGCAAGGCTGGGGAGGAAGGGGAGGGAGAGCAGGGAAAGGAGGGAGTTGGAATGCAGGATGGAGCCAACGAAGAAGCCTTGGGAATTACGAATTCAATCGGAGGCGAGGAGCTGAGTAATGGTGCGAAGCAAGAGGGTGAGGGAGGAGAGAGGGATCGAGCTGCGGAAGGAGACCAACGTACCTCGCCTCATCGTCTAGAAACGAACAATGATGTCGGCAGCCAAGAACTGCAAGTAAGCATGGATGCTTCTCAAGATATTTCTCTTGCGGAGCGACAAGAGCAGGAGCAGGAGCAGGAGCAGGAGCAGGAGCAGGAGCAGGAGCAGGAGCAGGAGCAACAACAGGAGCAGGAGCAACAACAGGAGCAGGAGCAGGAGCAGGAGCAGGAGCAGGAGCAGGAGCAGGAGCAGGAGCAGGAGCAGGAGCAGGAGCAGGAGCAGGAGCAGCAACAGAAGCAACAACAGGAGCAGGAGCAGATGCAGGAGCAACAACAGGAGCAGGAGCAACAACAGAAGCAACAACAGGAGCAGGAGCAGATGCAGCAGCAAGAGCAAGAGCTGAGACGTGAACGTGAGAAGTTAGGCGACACCCTTACCTCAAGGTCTTCACCGCACAGTGGAACCAAGGTCCCTCCTTCCCTTGCATTCAAGTTCGTTTTACTCACCCCCCTCCTCTCAGCTCCATGGCCAGCTGAAGCCGAGCGTTGTTCCCTTCTCCGCACCGATGGTCGGGTGGGCTCTGGAGGAGCAGGAGCCGGACCTCGCAGGGACTTCGACACCCAGGAAGAGGATAATGCAGCTCTATCGCAGCCCAGACCAGGTGCCTGTCTTGCTCCCCCGTTTCTCCCTTTGCTACCTCGTCCTTGCTTTCCCTGGTGTCTCCTGTCCTTTAATCCCACGTCTTGTTGTCTCCTGCTCTTCCTACTCGCTGTCTTGGTCACCCTCCTCGCTTCTGCTCGTGTTTCCCGTTCGCCTTCCTTTTCTTGCTCTGTCTCCTCGTTGTCTGAAGGAAATGAGCTGCAGTTCCAGCGCAAGGATGGAGTATTCATGATACCCAAGGACCCCAGGTTCAAGAAGCGACTGATGGGCGTGTTAGAGTGCTACTACGGTCACCAGTTCTGCATCAAGTTAGAACAGTCGACTACTGTGCAAGAGCAGGCGGAGGGGAGAGGGAGGGATGGAGGTACAACAAGGACGGAGGAGGAAGAAGGGGAGAGGGCAGATGCGGACAGGGCGGAGGATGGAGAAAGCAAGTTCGAAGAGGAGAGAGATCTTTCCGCGGCGCCTGGAGGTGAGAAAATGTCTCCAAACTACTCAAACACAGCGTGAAGTTGATGTGCAGCAAGTACGGGGATCGGGGGCATGAAGCTGCGAAAGGATCGCGTGGAGGACGGGAAAGGAGCCGAGCCGCTGACGAGGACGAGGAGGCTGTCGTTCCTCAAGGAACTATTCTCCTCGCAAGCAGGGATGAAGGGCAGGAGAGAGGAGGAGGAGGAGAGGAAGAAGCTGTCGTTCCACGAGGCCCTGCGGCACCTGCGCCAGCTGATGCAGAAGCAGGAGATCCTCCCCAGCGAGTTCCGCCTCGCCCGCTTCAAGCTCGCTTCCATCGAGGCAGAGCTGCGAAGGAAGCCGGGGGAGCAGCAGGGAGACGGTGGGGGGAGGAGGAAGGAGACGATCCTGCCGGAGCTGCCCAAGTGCAAGGGGATGACCCCAAGGAGGCTGGCGAACCCGATCATCGCGGACGCGCAGAGGAGGATGCGGGAGATTTTCAGCAACGCGGTGGAGTCTTTCCTGTTCTTCAACATGAGGGGAGCAAACGCCGTCTCCCCCAACGACCTCAAGAGAGGATGGGAGAGGCTGAGGGACTACGAGGTCGACTACCGAGCTCTCTTCGTCGCGGTGAAGGCTGAGGACAACGAGCAGAGCGAGACGATCGGGTTCCTACACTTCCTGAGGTGAGGGAGGGAGGGAGGGAGGGAGGGAGGGAGGGAGGGAGGGAGGGAGGGAGGGAGGGAGGGAGGGAGGGAGGGAGGGAGGGAGGGAGGGAGGGAGGGAGGGAGGGAGGGAGGGAGGGAGGGAGGGAGGGAGGGAGGGAGGG